GCCTGTTGCCGAAGCTTTCTTCTTTGTACTAAGGTCTCGTTGGATAAATAAAATACTACTTTAAGCGGACCCTTTTTGCATGGCCTCTTCAAAATATTCCTTTTTTTCTTGAAAAATTTTAAAGATTTTTGGGTTGTTCCTAATGTATGGACTGGACATATCTAGGAACAACAACAAGAATAAAAAGAGTGACAAATTTAATTATATACTTACCAAGTTGGTTTATTCTACCCTTCTTCTAACTGCAAACAAGACAAGCAATATCCATTTTTTCTAAACGCAATTAAATGACAGAGTTTACGTTTAAACCCAAAAGGTAGAGAAAAAGAAAAGGGTAACAAGAAGAGGTTTCTCTTGATTATTGCAATTACTATTTCAATGAGCTAGGTTAATTATGCTAATTTCATGTGCTGCTTGATTTGACAGTCGGATCTCCTTAAAACTTGATAATGGGCAGTTGCAGTTTTTATTTTCATAGTTTGTGGGACAGCACGCATCGTCCCTTAAAAACACTAGAATTATCTTCTAATTATGTTTTCTAATACTAAAAGCAATTAATGGGTTAGTGATGTTTCCCACGCCCCATTAATTAATAAGATCTGTCATCTTAATCATAAGAACTCAACAGGAAAAATATTTATATCGATAGTATTTTGGATTGAACCTTTTAGAATCGGTTATGAAAGCCAAAGTTGATCTGATTGCTGCAACTGATAGCCATGTTGAAATAACCTAAACAAAAACAATATCCTAAGTGGTTTGGTCAGCTGGACTGCAAGTTCCACGTTTCAAGGAAGATTGGTCTAAAAATCAAAAACCAAAATCAATTTACTTTTAGAAATGTTGCAAACTTTGTATGCACATCTCGAATTAACACATTTTAGTTCTGGCCAAAGCTTCACCTCACGTGGAGGTGAAGTGCCTAATTGGGTTACCATGACTTCCACCTTAGAAGCATTTCACGTAATTGGTATAAGCAAATTAAAATGAGTTGTAATAAAAAAAAAAAACAAATACTAATACCACTTAGTATTTTATATAAGAAAAATGTTAAATATGGATTATAATAATAACAAGTTTCAACTTCAAATATGGATACGTTGAAAACAAGATTGGTAAGGGGTAGAAGGTACAAGGACCCAAATATGTGTATTTGAGGTTTTAACTCAAAAAAAAAAAAATTATCCACATTGCAATATCTGAATTAATTAATATATAGTCTCTTTCTCAAGATTTTGATTGTTGTATTTAATAAAACGTGCTGGCTTTTCTCATTCATAGCCCACTTCAATTTGGACATCAAAATGGTTAGGTTTTGACTCTTTCCGTGGTTTCTTTTGCTCATTTTCACAAGGAAAGCATCGTGGGAGCTTAATTCCATCCCAGCATATTGGCAAGGAAAATCAACAAGCCTCCCTTCTGCCATACCCCATTTAGGTTAAGAATTCAAATTAAAAGGATTACAAAATGTCATCCAAATTGATTTTTTAAAACAAAAAAGGAATGATTTTTGGTGAGATGTCAGCATTTAACAGTTGATGTCTAATCACAAAGACACCCACCATCCTCAAAAATCGGGTAAAAAAAGCTTTGATTCATGAAATGTTTACTCTTTTTATAGAAAAAGCATTGTGAAGGATGATTAATGAAGCCTATGGTAATTGTTCCTTTTTGTTTTTTCGTACACGACACATGCATTTCTAATTATCAAGCAAAACATTGAATTGTTATATTCTTTTGTTGTAGCAATGAAGAAAGACCAATTCATTTTTTTTATACGTAAAATAAGATATGTGATCTAATAGTAAAAGCAGACATAGATTATGTTAGTTCGTAAGAAACCCAATGTAAATGCTTAATGCAACTTAGATAGTAGTAGTAGTTATAGAAATTTGAGTTCAAACCTTGATCCTCTCTTCTTATTCACAAAATTAAATAAAAAATGTAATCTTGGTGCTAGCTATTTCAAGATCCTTAACTATCACACAAAAATGCAATTGCTTAAATACATTTCCTAACTCAATGCTAATAAACATAAGTACAAATTGAGGTCTAGGCTTTTGAATGTATTCTAGTCAATTAATTATATAGTCAATACTCGGACCAATCATTATGTCATGGACAGTCTATTGCAATAAGTAAGAGATTTGAAATGGCATATAAGTTGTTAAAATTAATAAATCATCTTTTAAAAAAAAATTTATATAGTACTATGAGCTCGTACTCTTTTGTTTGAGAAAGGCAACTGTTTGTAATGGTTGGTTTTGGGGAGTAAGGTTAACTTCTCTTTTAATTGAAATAGTTGCATTGAATTTTGCCTCCAACTAACTCAAAAATAGAAGCGGGTTTTGTTTTGGTTTTTTGGGTTTTTAAAAAGAAAGTTTCAAAATCATCTTTTGCACAAGTTAGGTGCCAAGATTGATTTGTATTATTTCTATAATTAATGTTGTATATTAATTACTCGTTTGTACACAATATAAACATGTTGAGACCCTTTTAAAATGTTCATGAACATGTTGTATCAAAGAAAGTGCCCACAAACTTAAAGAAAAGTGGCATCTTTGACAAAAATAGAAAAAGGAGGAAGAAGAACATGCAACTTTGCCATTCATGTAGCCACTAGAATAAAGATGGAAGCTAGAAAATATAAACCACAAGTAGTTTCGAATGCCCCCCCTGCGTATGGCACTGAATGTTCATTTGTCGATAGAAATACAGAGCCCAAATCGGAGGCAAATGAACAAGTTTGGCTTTGTTTTGTTGTTCCTTGCTGTGTCAACGGTAGGGCAACTGGATGGGATGGGCTACGAAAAGCCTGTCAACTTGTGGGCACCTTGAATGCGCTCCGTACAAAGAAGTCATTCAAAGCTAAACAGAGTTTGAGATTACAAGTTGTGCAAAGGCTACGTAGGTTGCTCCTTCCATAGTCGGCTCTGCCTACTACAAAGATGCTGCTTGCCAAAGGCTTTAACATGCAAGCAATTTTTTGAATATATCTTGACCCTTTCTCTCTCTCTCTC